ACAAATATCTGTTAATTCAAATGCAGAGCACAAGATTCGGCTGTTGGTCAATATATTAAAAAGATATTGAATGAATTGAAAGGCCTTAAATTTGTAGAGACATTAAAGGTTACTTTTGACAAGGTTGAAGATAAGGGTGATAAAAAAGTAATGAATGACAAAACAGCATATTTTAATAGCTCACCTCAGACAATGATAAACGATACAGAAATAGCAGACTCTTTACGATTGACAGAGCAACATATAAGAAATAAAGTAGCATAATGGGTGTCAGAAGGATCTGGCTGGCTTGTTCGGTCAGTTGATAATCACTACCTAGATATTGTTCTACATAATCAATCTAGGGGTTCCTCTTATATTCAATTACCACCAGAATTAAGAAATGGTAGAGAAGGATTGATTAATTTGAAAAACAAAGATGATGAATGCTTTCGCTGGTGTCATATCAGACATTTAAATCCACGAGAAGGTAATCCACAAAGAATTAAAAAAGTTGATAAGGATTACATTAAACAATTACATTATTCAGGAATTGGAAAGCGATAAAACTTTGTTACGTCCTTTCGCAGAAACGTAAGTGGGAGATGAGGCCGGGATATTCGCTGCTTTTCGCTAGCTCATCGTAGAGACTTGCTTATGGTGGCATAAAAATATACTGAGAACTAACTCCAGTTACTACATTTACTGCAGTACTCAGCATTTCCAACTTATTCCGTATTCTCGATCTCTCTTCATTATCCGCCATATTTGCCTCCTTGGAAGCGGGATCAAAATATAAGTCGCAAGATCCCTCGGCCATTTCCAGTCGCTCGTACCCAAATTGTTGAGCGTGTTTTGATATTGAACTTGAAGCTCCATGCCGTGTTGGTTTTGACGTGATTCGCTAGGGTTGCAGACAAGGAGAATTTGTGTTGATGTTGACTTACTTTCGCTGTTGGATGTAGTGTGTTTGGAGTGTTGATATTGAAATTAGCTGTTGAAGTTGGACAAATTTTATCGTTGAACTAAATAGTAACAACTGGCAAAGAGTAAAAAAGTACAGGCTTAGCCTCGAAACTTTGAATGCAGTTTGATTTTGCATCGAACTTGACACGACATATAGACTCCACGCGCGCTAAGATAATCCGAAAAATTGTTACACTCACTCCCGCAGTCCCTAGCTTGCTAACCCACTCATTCCCTCACTCACTCACTCATCTCGATAACAAATGTGGCTTCGTATGATGGACGATCCTCGCAGTAGATAGCGCTATTTGAGCAATAGCGAAATTCAGACCTGAAAAAAATCAGGCCTGTACGGGACTCGAACCACTGACCTCTGCGATACTAGTGCAGCGCTCTAACCAATTGAGCTAACAAGCCAACTGAGAGCAGGCCGTTAAGTTGATTCGTAATGAACCCGTGAAAGTGATAAATGAGATAGAATAAATATATGAAAATCATATATTTTGAACTGCGGTATTTGATACGTATGATGGACGATCCTCGCAGTAGATAGCGCTATTTGAGCAATAGCGAAATTCAGACCTGAAAAAAATCAGGCCTGTACGGGACTCGAACCACTGACCTCTGCGATACTAGTGCAGCGCTCTAACCAATTGAGCTAACAAGCCAACTGAGAGCAGGCCGTTAAGTTGATTCGTAATGAACCCGTGAANTGGGAAACTTCTGACGATGACTTTTGCTTACGGTTGTTGATACGCTACTACTAACAACAGTCCTCTCCAGTACTAACAGTGCAAAAAATTGCTTAATCATTCAGGGTCATTCTGAGCAGTGCAATGCATAAGTAACTCGTTTTTACTTGACACGCGCACTTTTATACTCTGCTGATTTTTTTTGATGACTTAATGCTACTAGAAGTTAGTGATTCTTGTTTCCGAACAGAAAAGAAGAATTAAGGGTTGCAAAAACCGAGAGGAAAACAAACAAAAAAGCCACTACGTAAAACAGGTTTACGCTTAAGGGAATGGTTAGAAAATTATTGATATTTGGATCCGTTTTGATAAATCAAAACATATGAAAAGGACAGTTGATAATCAATACTTTTGAATTAACATATCGTAGCGTGCGGGAGACATCGGCCAGGCTTTTACGCAACATTACTGAATAACGTTCGCGATCGTGCCTGTAATTCAAAATGCCGTTCGAAGGTAAAGCCAACTGTAATGGGCGTTTACGAAGTGGAGCGCAATGTGGCAGAACGAGTTAAAGGAAGAAAAGCAGAATACTTCATCCATTGGCAGAGTTACCCCCGATTAGGCACGCAGAATTAGGTGGGAACCAGCCGATGAAAGTAGAGAGAGATTGTCTCTACTATTCGAGAAGGGTTAGAAAATGCCCCTTGCTTGAAACGAAACCATCACCCTGCGATCTTTCCTGGGTTACCGTCAGACTCTCCGGAGGAGTCTATACCTCGCCAGTGAAGACTTAGCAAGTCGCCTGCCTTCCTAGACGAGCACGGTCGCAAGACAGCTTCCCATCTAGTGGAAAGAGTTCAAGTAAAGTTCACGAAGAGTTATCTCGCCGGAAATTTGCAGTGAACAGAAAGCTGCGTTATGAAAACGGTTTCTTTAGAAGCCACCAATCGTGATAAAAGCTTATGGCCAAATTCTCTCTTGTTAAATAAAGTTAACCTTCTTGATGATTTTACGCAAATCACAAATCTCGATAAGAATAACACTTTTTCCTTTTCAAAACAGTCAAGTTAGAAGCATTTTTAAGATGCTTCCCAAAAAAATATTTTATATTGATTATTAATCATTGCTGATTCGTGACTTGTAAATTAAACACAGCCACACCCACGTCACTAGACTTCTACCCGCGACCCACGACCATAAGTCATACAAATTACCAGAACATAAATTTCTTTTTCGAAAAAAGTGTTTAATTCCCTAGAAACACAACATCAGCAGTAACAACAAAAGTATCATGACATCATAGAAAATACCAGAGTTTGAAGCTCTCCACAAAGAATGTATGGGTGTTGCCATACACAGATTAACTAAGTGGTCAGGTATTCGTTCAACTGTACGTGTTCTGTGGTAATAACGGCATACCAGAAGAGTTAAATGTCGCTGCTCAAAAGTACTTTGGAGAGATGGGTGTGGAACTAAAATGGACGGACCTGAACCGTGAAACATCTCGTGTGCCAAACATCACCCCTGGAGTGTCAAGAAGATTGGAGAAATTCGAGTTTGATGAAATTAGTAAGATCATAGACACTTCACCTACTTACTTTCAACAAGCATCGTAACCGACATCACTGCTGTGTACCCTTCTCTCAAAGTAACAGATCGAAGCGGGCAGACGAGCCGTACATCATGCTTAAATCTGTTAACACGGCTGATCTTCGCAACAATCTAGCCTCTTCTGACCTGTGTACTAGGAAAAGCTGATTGAAAACTATGGAACAACACTATTCCGTCTGATTAACCTTTATCTATCAAGACTAAGAGAGTAACGACCAGGCCGCAAGTTCCCTGGTACAACGAGGAGATCACATTGGCGGAAAGATAAAGACGTAAAGCAGAAAAGACCTGGCAAAAGACCAAATTAACATCAGACTTCCTAAATTTTAAGAAAACGACAAACAATGCCACCCTTATTATACATAAAGGACGGAAAACTTCTTATAAGGACTTTGAAAATGACGATAACTGTGACCTTGGGAAGCTGTTTGGAGGAATGAAGACGACAAAGTTAAAGACCATCCTACAGTAATGTAGTATCAGCGCAGATATGAGTTTCGCCTGCTCTCTTGTGAAGACGTCCGTAGTCTCGTCCAGAAGTCAGCTAAAAAGACATAAACCAAGAGCATTCCGGCACCATTGTGTCGCTGTTAGATATTGATCTCGAAAAACTGTCATTGGAAAGGGGAAAACAATTACAATTAGTTTGCCAACAGGACATGCAACCCGAACAGGAGGACAGACACATATCTTACGTCACCATTCACAATGTTTGTTTGTTTGTTAACGACTTTACCGGGTGTGACTAGACCCGGAAGGGTTAGTGCGAACGGAACGCAAGGTCCATGAGAGGCACCACCCCTCCCCCCCAATTCACCCTGGATAGACACTGCACAAAGATAGACCACAACACCGGGCACTACGTGCCCTACTCTTTTCGAGGAGTGTGTGGGTTCTTTAACGTCTCACAAATTTAAATCACATATAAGGGGTTGTGAGACGAGACCTCCATTTATCGTCCCTATCCGAGAAGACTAGAAAGTCTAACCGTTTGCAGTTTATTACTAGTGTTGCTAGTTTATTACTTAAAACAAGTAGATTCCGTGTTGTCGTGTTTCTGTTATTTACTATGATACACATACCTATTTATAAACAGCTTAAACTTGTATTGATATTTCAGTCTTTCTGATGTTTCTGTTGCAATGTGTTAAAATCAGACTGCGTGAACATATTATACATCTCATAAGAAATTTGGTAATGTTTCAGAGGCAAAGGAACTGGTTGGCCAACCGGACATTCAATCCGAAAGGGAACTGACTGAACGCGCATCTAAGGAAAGTGAAGGTAACTCAAAATCAATTTGCTTCTGAATTTTGTTAGTTTGTTAGTTTTAGAAATTTAAAATTAAAAAAAAAATTGAATTGCTGTTAATGTTTACGTAATCTTTGCAATGAAGAAAGAATTGCTCAATAATTAAGTTTTGAAAAATGTGCACGACTACCCATCTGGACACAAAATAATGCTGATTTATCATCAGGTTAATATGATAAAAAGAAACAATTTACGACTGAAAAAGCTATTCAACCCGCAGAATAAATGCTTGTTTAATGCATGAAACAAATAGATTGTATGTTGTCGTGTGTCTGTTGAGTAATACATATACAAACTTATTCACATATAGTTTAAACCGGTAGAAATATTTCAGTCCTTCTGCAAGAATGCTTGAAAATCAAACTGCGTGAACAATATCATGCATTACATGAGAAATCTGGTAATATTTCAGAGGCAGAGAAACTGGTTGGCCAACAGGACGTTCAACCGGCCGAAAGTGAACTGACTAAAGGCGCATCTAAGAAGAGTGAAGGTAACTCAAAATCAATGTGCATATGTATTTCGTTAGTTTGTACGTTTCAAAATTCATAATTTAAAAAAAATGGAATTCCTGTTAATTTTTACGTAATCTTTGCAACAAAAATGAATTGCGCAGTAGTAAAGTCTTGAAAATGGTAACGGCTGCCCATCTGATACAAAATGATGCCAATATATTATCAGAGAATCATGATGACTGAAAAACGATTCAAGTCTTACAATAAATAGTAATTGGCCTTTTTTTGTGCTGAAGGAATTTAAGCCAGAATAATGACACCGGCCACTGATACTGTTTGGCTTTGCAAATTACATGTACTTTGTTGAGACACTTTTCGCAATCTAATTTGTTTATTGCTTCAAATCTAATCATAAGTGTAGAAAATAAGGAATTCGAAAACTTAGGACGTTTGGCTGTTGACTTAGCTTACTTAAATAACGGTATACGAACTACAGCAATATCTAAAGTTTTACTGTTTTCTAAACATCAGACATAAACCTCCCAATTAATGATTTAAAAGAACTCCATTCATGCATCACATGAGAAATTTGGTAATGTTTCAGAGGCAGAGAAACTGGTTAGCCAACAGGACATTCAATCCGAAAGTGAACAGGCCAAAGGCGCATCTGAGGAGATTGAAGGTAACTCAAAATAAAAGAAATAGAATACCTGTTTATGTTGACGTAATCTTTGCAATAGGGAAAGAATTGCTTAGTTGTCATTAAAATATGCCGGAACGACCAACTATCTGGAAGCAAAATGATTCTAGCCGTTTCATCAGGCTGATATAATAAAAAGAAACAATCGACGACTCACAAACGATTCAAATTGTAGAATAAATGGTAAATGGACTTTCCTTATTTGATGAACGGGATTCATGCCTGAGTAAAGATACCACTGATATTCGGTTCGGCTTTGCAAATTACATGCACTTTGTTCCGTCACTTTTCACGATCTTCGTTGCCCTAGAGGTAGTTGCTTCAAATCCTATAACAAGTGTAGAAAGCAAGGAATTCGAAAACTTAAGACGTTTGCCTGTTGATTTAGGCTACTGAAATAACGCTATACGAACGTCAACAATATCTAAAAGTTTCACCGTTTTCCAACATGATACATTCACCTACTAGTTAATGATTTAAAAAGGATTACTTTCAGCTTTAGTTCTTAATTTTGACGGGAAAGCAAACTAGGCTAAGAGTAATCTGGCTGGTCGACAACTTTAAGTGGTGCATTAAAAATAATTTGCTAACAATGACCGTTTGATGTGATCATCTCGGAAAAAGTAGTCATGAGAAAACTTTGATGGTGACTTACGCTTAGATGATCGAAACGTCAGTCACTATCATTGACAACAGTTATTCTCAAGGCTACTATCACCCGGACGATCTGATTGCATCATCAAATGTCACTCCTGTGTGCAAGCCATTTGCTGCATTGCTCAAAATAAAATAGGAAAGATCGGCTTGTCTCGAAACAAGTAGCACACTTAACTGCTAAAAATCTGAAGATAACTGAATATAATCCAAAAGCTTTGAAATGAGAGCGTTATTTCATTTTTTTTATTTCTTTTGAAATGTGCAATGAAGTGCTTTGGTAGCTTTAAAGGTCAAGCTTGTAGACCAGCCATGCAAAGACTGACGTACGATTCTGTTTTTGTTTTGTTCCATTACAAAGGTAGTGTAACAGGATAATTTTTGGCAGCCAATAAATAAATAAGATGAAACTGAACTGGATGGAATCAACTGAATTTAGGTGCGCATTTAGTTGATCTCGGTCCGCCGTTCGTAGAAAGTAAACCTGATCACAACGATTTGTCTTGGAGTTTGACTAGTGGTTGTCGGCCATGGGTCGAAGGTTCAAGTCGTCTAAGAGATAACAATTCGCAATTGTTCATTAGTTACTTTTTTTAATTACTAATTAACTGTTTTTAATTTGATGTTTGGAATGCTCCTAATCTGATGGATTATAGGGAATAGATAATCACCAAGAAAAAGAATTCTGCGCTAAACATTAAAAAATAGCATGGAAAGGGAGCCTCCACAGGGCTCGAAATTAAAAAAAAATTCTAAGTCGCCTTTTGGCGACTATGAGAGAAAAAATGGTCGCCAAGTGCAAAAATGCGATCGCCAGATAGTACAAGAACAGAAATCAGATTAGAGCCTTATTCAATTGGCGTTGTTGTTCGGCTTCTGGTGGATTGTGGCTGCGATTGTGGGGTAGACCGAAATACTCGATCTTGAATGACTTAAAACATGAAAACACAAAAGAAGAAACTCCGAAAGACTTTTGCATGACAATCTTACCTTAAGCAGTAAGCTAAAAAAGTAATAAGAACGTTTCAGGGCTACTTTAGCAAGGAAAATATGTCCCATCGCATGCAAGAAATCGTACGATACGAAGGCATCAAACATTTATCAAAAATGGCGGATAGGCATTTAGTACCAGACCTCCTGTTCTCAACGGATTAGTTTTAAATTCAGAAGCTTTTCAACAAAATATTGCGCCCGCGATCACCATGAAGAAGCCACTGTAATATGTCGTCTCGGAAGACACAATTTGAAAGCCATTTCAAGTTTTAGCTTAAAGGTAAACAGACTTAATTTGCACTTCCTTCGGCAGAAAAGCAGAAACGCAGAAACGAGACTTAAGAAATTTTCCTCATCTACAATCTTTTATTTATCAGAGGAAGTTAGTTTAGTCGCTAAGTGGCGACTAAACTCGAACTTTTAGTCGCCAAGTTAAGAGTTTTAGTCGCATTGGCGACCTTATCGGTCGCAATTTCGAGCCCTGCTCCATGAAATCTGGCAAAGCTTTGCATTTGATTGAACAAGTATTATGTTGATTCACCATAATTCATTTAAAAGATAATCTACAGCAGTGGAAAGCGATCAAACTTCGTTACAGCAGAAAATCAGCTCATCAACTTCCTTTCGCAGAAACGTGCAACTGGGAGAAAAGGCCGGCATACTCGCTGCTATTCGCAAGCTGATCGTAGAGAATTGTTTATGGTGGCACGAAAATACACTGACAACCAACTCCAATTTCTACATTCACTGCAGTACTCAATATTTCAAACTTACTTGTTTCTTTATGAACTGTATTAATGCTAGTAAATCGTTATGTTCAGATACCACATACAAACGTCACTTCACCACAATTTTCCACTCCCTCTGTCGCACTTTTCTTTGGTTACCAACGAAATAAGCCACACTCCACTGGGAATTTCAGACCACAAAATTCGATGGGAACAACACCTTCCCCTTCTCGAGTCAATCAAATTTGGAGCATTTTTAAAATTCTTCGCTAAAAACTTCAATTTATTTTGATTATTGATTATGATCAGTCACAACTATTAAACACAGCCACACCCACGTCACAAGACTTTTAGCCGCGACCCACGACCATTAGTCATACAAATTACCAAAACATAAATCTAGTTTTCATAAAAGAAATTAAAAACAAGCAATTTTTACAAATTTGACCCGACCAGTTTTTTTTAAGCTTTAATTGTCATGACCAAAAATGGTCTAAAATGTCTGTAAACTTAGTGCTAGCGAAAAGCAACTACAACTAGACTGATTGGAAAAAAGGCACGTTCACCTACAAAGTCTTGTGTTTATTTTCACCAGAAGCACAAAAACAACAACAACAACAACAACAGTATCATGATATCATGAGGAACCGGCGAATTTTTATAGGGAAAAGCGAAGCGTTATTTTCGTGACTGGCCATTTGTTTTACTTTTCTGGTTGTAATATTTATATACTAAGTACTAGCATCTCGCGCGCGAAGTAGGAAGACTATATGAAGGCTTAAAATCATATTAAGAACGATTGTGGCCGTTTTGTTAAAAACCCAATGTTATATATCAAGAAATGGGCAAGGAATAATTCACATTATTACACGACTCGGGCAGTCAGACGGCCAATAACTAAAATCAACCAATCAAAATGCTCTATTGCCGGTCAATATTCTCTCAGTATTGGATCGGGCAGTGTCCCGAATGGTCCCGAATGATACCACAC